ATTTTTTCCCAATATCCAAACTAACACTCCACTCTGTCATTTTGAAGCCCTTCCCCCTTGTCCTGTCCCTCCAGGCCCTTGTCAAGGGTCTGTAGGAAGTACCCAAGTTGCTGCTCTGCAGTTTTAGTCCTGGCTTAGACTGCAGAGAAGGTTGAGGCAGCAAATGGCCCAGCAATTTACACTCTCATTACTCAACCTTTCCTTCTCCAGTCTGTTGAGCAAGACCTGTGTGGGGGTGTAACTCTCCTGGATAAACTGGGAGGCATCACCTTCACTGCAGTCACAGTTTATGTGGATGAGCCTGACCCTCCTAGCCCTGTGTGAGCCCAACTGTGTGAAGCTGAGTGTAGGTGCGCTCACCACCCACTCTCTGCAAACCACATCATCCAGAATAATTGTTATTGTCCCCTGAATTACCCATTATCCAGGTTGAAATGGGTACTTGGGAACGATCCCTGCCAGGTTCAGCCACTAAAACTGTAGAAGTTGTTCCCTACGTGGAAAGAACAGTGAGATGGGGAAGGCTTAGGGGTGACCTCGTTGCGTGGTGACCACTCAGAGGTTGGACTCGATGGTCTTGGAGGTCTTTTCCAACCTCAGTGATTCTGTGGAAAGGAAAACCAGCAGGCTACGGATGCAATTCAACAGGAGCTTTAATGGGACATGAAGCAAGTGCTGTGGAATGGAACAGTGCAACTCATGGCTGGCCTGTTCCGTGGTCCAAAGGCGGCCTGGCCACCCTTGCTGGTGGCAAAAGCCACTGCATGTCACAAAGTCCAGCAGCTAAGCCCCACTTCTGGGTTCTTCTGAATTCTTCTGAAGCATTTCCACTCCACCAGAAAGGACACAGGGCAGGAACAACGAGGGGAGAGACACCATCCCACGGAACTGCTTCGGGTAGAGGATGAGACACGAGGGGTTGTGGGTCTGGTTTCCAGGGTGCTGAGCAAGGGGGGCTCCTGCTGATGTGAGGGTCTTCCACCATCTCTGAATACCAGGCCCAGCTGAGCATCTGCATGGGGTGTTTTCAGCTCCTGAGTTGCTGTGGGGTTGTCTTAGGACGAGTTTCCCAGGCGGGACCCTCGGCGGGTGCTGTACAATCGCCTGCCCTGAGGGCCCCTCATCCCTGGGGAGCCTCCGTATCCAAAGGGACCCCCAGGGCCAAAGGAACCCCCAGAGCCAAAGGAACCCTTCACTCCATACCCACAGGGACCCCCAGAGCCAAAGGAACCCCCAGAGCCAAAGGAACCCTTCATCCCTGGCCCAATCCCGTACCCACAGGGACCCCCCGAGCCAAAGGAGCCCTGAATCCCTGACATGCCCCCAGACCCAAAGGAGCCCCCCCATCCAAAGGAACCCCCAATCCCTGAGGGACCTCCATACTCAAAGGAGCCCCCAGACCCAAAGGAGCCCCCAGACCCAAAGGAGCCTCCAGACTCAAAGTTGCTCCCCATCCCACAGGACTCATCGGAGGCGTTCGGGGTCAGAGCCCCAAACAGCTGGGGAAAGGATGTTCCCACAACACTCTCCTGGGAGCAGCTGCTGAGGGTCGGGCCTGGGAAGGTGAGGACGACTGGAGGGGCGAACACCACGGCTCTGGAGTCCCCACAGGATGCAACACAGGGCTCCAGGTTCCTGCTGTAGGCACAGGGCTGGGAACACGTCACCTCACAGCCTGGCAGGCACTCGGAGTTGCTGCTGTTCAGCATCATTCCTGGGGAACTGAGGCAAAGCTGGGAAAGACGACCTGCAGGTCAAGAAACCACCGCAGTCAGGTGTCCACAGGCTCCCAACAGGAGCCAGGAGCACCTTGTCCTTCTCCTCCATCTACTCACAGACCAACCCTCCCTCACAGATTCCATTTTCCTGGCATTTTCCTTCCTAGCCTGTTTTATGGCTTCTCAGGTCTTCTTCCCTTCCCACCACCCACTTCTCTTATTCTTCTGAATCTCTCCAAAAAATGCTCTCTGGGACTAAACCCTCTCTGATCCTTTTACAATTCCTTGCTCAGAAAAGTCCCATTAATTCTCTCTCCCAAGTAGACTTGCAGGAAGATTTGCCTGCAGCTTCAAAAAGTCCCCAAGGAAAACCTTCCTTGCTCTGTTCTTCCCATTCCCCCAGCTTTTCCAAGGATTCTTGCGAAATCTACTCTTCTCTACCTCAGCTTTTCAAAAAATTGCTAGAATTTTGCAAGCTAAAAAAAATAAAGAAGTGAGTTTTAACCGCTTTGTAGCTACAGAGAAGTGCAGTGAAGTCAGACTTACCCTGCTGTCTTGGAGGAATAAGTCAGTGGAGCTGGAAGAATGGAAGATATCTCAGTTCTCTCCCCTTTTTATACTGTTTTTTGAGACAATAAGGAGGATGTGAGGTCACCCATTATTTACCAAATTCGTGTCACTTACAAAGAAAGAGATCCCCTCTTAAGCCTTGTGATTATTTCCACTCCAGCTCCTATTTAGGACTCCATTTACAGCCCAGCTTTGAGCGACACGAATCCAACACCCAACAGTCCCCTTTTGTCTCGAACTTCAGGGAGGACAATCCTTTAGGCATCATTCTGGTTCCAAAGCAAACAGGAGCTGATCCCTGGTGCTGACTTCTCTTCAGTGACCTGGGAGGAAGGAGGCTGCTGATGTGTCAGTCACACATTTGGGGTGTAA